GAGATAGAGAGAGAACGAGAAAGAGGGAGGACGAGGAAGAGAATGTAAGAACGTGAAAGCCAGAGGGTGAGAGGGGTGGGGAGAAATGGAGGGTGAGAGAGAAAGAAAAGCCAACGTACCTGTACCTGTCTCTCTGTCTCTCTGTCTCTCTCTCTCTCTCTCTCTCTCTCTCTCTCTCTCTATATCCTTATTTCAAGTTTTTAAAAATAATTAATTAATAATTTGTTACCTCACATATATTCTTCTTCTGTATGTTAATGTCCCAGTGTTTTAGCAAGGTAAACACGGCAACCATGACTTGCTGGCCAAGCTATTTCTGTCATATAGATTTCTTGCAACCCGATGCAGGTTTAAGAATATATATCTCGTGTAAAACATATAATTAACGTCCTGGATGGAGTACTTTGGGGGTAATTCCACGGAAAATGAAACACGTAGATGATGACGCACTGAGAAAAAAATTCCTAGCAGTTATAGAGCGATTCTGTCCTTTTTTTTCGTCAGAAGCAACCTTCGTAAAACACACACAAAAACCAAAACAAACCGAAAAACCCCCGGCTCTATCATTGTTTAGAAGTTTTCCAGCAAGTAATCATCCATGCGTTTCGTGTGCCAGCACTGTAGTTTCAGTTTTCATGTTGTGGCCCCTTTTCAAAAGTGATTTTCTGTTTTCGAAATTGGACCTAGTCTTGTTACCTCCAAGTTATCATTCGTCAGAAGACTGCAATCCGTATTATATAGTGATCAAAGTATAATATAAAATAATCCAAAATAGCTTCTAGTTTTCAGGGCACTTGCCAATTATTAATCATAGATAGAGAGAGAGACAGAGATAGAGAGAGAGAGAGAGAGAGAGAGAGAGAGAGAGAGAGAGAGAGAGAGAGAGAGTCTTATTTGATCATGATATTGAAACAAATCGTCGCCGTCATTTATCATGGTGATATAATATATTTCCCATGAGGACATTATTATCTTAATAATACACAATGTTAATTCGGCTAATCCCATTTTCTTTTTTAAAGAGGAATGAGGCTAGCCAACTTGATGCGCCTCATTAAACTCTACAACATACTTAATTTTCATGTTTCCAAAATTTTGACATACTGCAATGTTGAAGGGCAGAGACGAAATGGAAACTCGTTCAATACTTGAATATCTGACACCCAGGCGCGGTTCGTCCATTGAGCACGGTCGTGCAGTGCCGCCCACAATTTTTAAAGTTTTTATTACGTAAAACACCCACAATAATCAAATAAAAGGAACCAGAAACAAACACTAGCAAATATTATATAAAAACAAGGTCCTCAGTGGCGCAAAAACTGTCATTTCTGTGTCTATAGCGCCGTAAAACATCTACTATGCCATGCCAAAGTCCACGCGCTTTAGCAAAACATAACAGGATATTCAACAGTGTAACCTGGCCTATAAATCGCTGTTGGGGATAACCCAAGCGATGACGACACTCGTAGCGAGTTTGGCGGTACATTAAAATTAATAAGACGGCACATCTCAAATGTGCTCCTGCCGAACAGTGCCGAAACATAGCCCACAGTAGGCAGTCTAAAAATAAACGCGATAGACCGTACACCATTCTTTGCCAATATCATGTGAGCCCCGGAGCAATCCAGCGGAGTGCTCAAGTGAATTGCGATTGGTTCATTGTATGTCTTGCTACTATTTTAAGTGACTCTGTGACCGTGAACCTGAGGGAGGTGAACATGACCGCCCTATGAGTTGTGCCTTTGAATGGTTTTGTAGTGGATTAGTGAAAATTATTACTTGAGTGGTCAGTTCCAATACAGGATGAACGAAACTGATGTTTAGCTAACAAACAAATTTAGCACTAGAAATCAAAGCGACAAGTAAAAAGAATGAAAATAAAAACACGAGGTCCCCCCTCACCAACCCAAAGATCTTAAAATTATAGATTCTACACCGTCTCATTTACAATGCCCTTGACTATCTTCAGCATGCGATTGCTTAATTGTGCACGTCCACTTTTTAGCCCCTCGAGCCGCCCCTGCTGACACCCCCCCCTCCTCCCACCCGCTTTTCATTTCTTTGGTGTTTAAAAAAAACAAAAAACTTTTGGGTTTGTTTTTTTCAAAATCAAACAAAAAGGCTGTAAACACCTCCGTCAACCGTGTCCGGTAGTCGATGTAAAACTGCGTGTTTGACACGCCCACCTTGAACTAATGACAAGAGCTTTGACAAATAGAGCGAGAGTGCCGATCAGCCAGTTCCATTATTGATCACAGATAGAAAGATAAAAGAGAGAGTATAGTCTTTTGTTTTGTTTTGCGGTCCTCTCTTTCTTGTCTCCCTCACCCCCTCTCTCTCCCTCCCTCTCCTTCTCTCTCTCTC